GGGGGCTCGAACTCACTAACCCTGAGATCAGGACCCGAGCCCAAGTCAGAAGCTTAACGCACTAAGCCACACAGGCTCCCCAAGATTTTACTTTTAAGTAATCTCGACACCTAAGGTGGGGGAACTTAGGTGTCTCACTCTACCGACTGACCCAGCCAGTCACCCCTGTGTAACACTTTTTCAAAGCACTCCCATGAACATTCATTGGTCAGCTTCAAAAAAAAAAAAAGTTATTGTGGGAATATTACTCCACTCTAGAGATAAGTGGAGGCTCAAAGCAGCGATATGACTTTCCCGTCATCCACATACTTAGTATTTGGGAGTAAGAGAAACCCCCCGAGGGAAGAAACCAAATTGGTCACTTCACTCTCTGACCTTATCCACATTACCCGCTCTCACTTTCTTTTTTTGTCGCTGTCCATTTCTTTACGCTTTCCTCTTGCCCAGCTACGACACGTCTTTATACAAAATAGTTGTCCTACCCCGGCCTGGGAAGGGGAATCTTTGCTTTGTCTTTTTCACTCTCACCCAAATAGACACAGAGCCACAATCGCGTGCAAGGGAAGTAATAATCCACTTGTAAAGAGGAGAGACTCCAAGATGGAGATTTCTTACACTCAGAAACGAAGTCCCGTGGCAAGAAGGAAACCTAAGCAAGCTCCAGAGAGACTCTGAAAAATGAATCTCTAGGAAAATTCACTCTATGGGAACGAAACCTACCTGCTCGCTGTTTTCACAATTTGAGTACGCCATTTCCAGGGATACTCAGGGCAAGGCGAAGCCGGCCACGATGGGACACCGGGCCTTCGCTGCTTTTCACCTGGGGGCTTCCAGCCTGATTTCTCCTTTTATAAGCAAATGTCTCTGTCTACTTCCGGTTTCCCAGAAGAGCGGGTTTTCCTTCCTCCCTTCTTCCCCTCCCTCATTATCTGACACTGTGATAATTTCATCAGTTTTACACTCCCTGTGGTCCATTATGTGACACTTGCGCTGCTGGGTAATGAATATCAGTCCGAATATATTTTTTAAAATACGATTTTTAGCGGCACCCGCTTGGTTCCACAGGTAGCTGCGACTCTTGATCTCCCTCCCGATCGTGAGTTCAAGCATAAAAAAATAAAGGAAGATTTTTGTCTTCATTATTTTAAGGTGAGAGATGGGAGAAAACTAGAAGTGACAAATTCTTGCTAACAAGTTGCAACGCAGTAAAAAAAATATATTTAAAAACATTTCTAGGACAATATTGGTCCTAGTTTGAATCGGACCTAGATTGGCTGGATTGAATGAATTATTATGGAGGGATTAAAAAAAAAAAAGAATCAGAGGTATTTTACAACTGATTTATTCCCATGGGTGTGTCATTCACTGGGAGATTAGATTTAAATTGTAGGGGGTGGATAACAATCTCTCCTGGATCGAGTTCTAAACACAAATATTAAATCCGCCTTACTGGTGAACTGGGTACAGGGAACGATTTGGCTGTTTAGAATAGGAACAGCAAGCGGTGTCTGGGGACTCTGTTAAGTGACCAACTCTAGCTCAGGTCATGATCGCACTGTTCATGAGTTTGAGCCCAGCATGGGGCTCACTGATGTCAGCGGGGAGCCCACTTTGGATCCTCTGTCCCCCTCTTTCTCTGCCCCTCCCCTGCTCATGCACTCTCTCACAAACAAAAGCCAAAAAACACTAAGACAAATAATGGACTAATGAATGCAGAAAGAACTGCAAGCACTTGGAAATTGCTAGAGCATAGTGCTGGAGGCAGGGGGAGACAAGGCAGGATGGGATAAGAGATGAGGCTAGAGAAGTCACAGATGTTTTCATAGGTTGCTCCAAGGAGCCAGAGCTATTAAAGGAAAATCTTCACACAGAGTATGGCAGCACCAGCGAGCATTGGCCTCTCTGGGGGCTTTCTCCTTCCCTAGGAAAATGGTCTGGTCCATCAGTCTCAGGACCCACTGAGCCCACATCAGTTTACACTACATTTAAAGTGTGGTCTACAAGGTCTCAGCTTCAGTTTACTGAAGACGTCCAGAACTGGATCCTCAAGGGCAGGACTCAGAATTCAACAAGCCCTTAGGGTAATTTGTTTGCACCTAAAATCTAGAAGCCTTCATTAGAGGAGGGTGTGACCAAATGCATTTGGATTAGGCAGATAATGGTTGGAATCCTGGCTCCTCCCTTCCAGGATGGAAAGTGAATCAGCCCATGGAGATTCAGCCAAGAAAGTACTCATCTACGCACTTGGGTGTGACCCCACCTAATGGGCTTTTTCTGGCAGGTTTAGAAGGCTGTTATACCTGGTTGCCTGAACTGACACCAGTGTTTAAGGCTATCCAGGACTTAACAGTGGAAAGACCATTTTATTACCATATTTAGCATTTATTACAATATAATTATCTTATTTGTTTCTTGGATATTCCCCTGCTTTTTGAAAATGTTATATCTTGGGAAAGTTCAAACATGTGCAAAAGCAGACAATAATACCATGGAACCTCATGTTTCCATCATCCAGTTTCAACAACTGTTGACTTCCAGCCAATTTGATTTTATCGGAACCACTACCTAGTCCCTCTCACCTGGGTTATTTTGAAGGAAATACCAATCTGTAAACTCTCCTCTATCTTTAATTTTTCTTACCATTTTTTGTTGTTGTTCTTGCTAATGTTTAAAGAATCATGCGAATTTCCTGTAGTGTCCTATCTGGATTTTGCTAATTTCATTTGTTATTCCATTTAGCCTATTCTTCAATCCTCTGTATTTATTGTAAATTGGTTTGATTGGATTCCAGGATGGCTTTTTTTTTTTTTTAACAATACTTTTTCCTCCCTTTCACTCTCTGTCTCCTTATTCTTTAAACTTTTTTCTCTTTGAAGTATATTTGACATAGAACATTGTGTAAATTTAAGGTGTACACATTTAATTTGATACATTTTCATATTGTAATACTATTGCCATTGTAGGCATCATTAGCACCTCTATCAGGTTCTTTAAGTGTAAATGCCAATTTCTTGGAGTCACCCTTAAAAATTTGCTCCTGTGATTTTCTCACTCTTTTCCTTCATAGAATTCATTTGAATGTGTTATTCTTTGTATAGTTGGGATTTCACTGTTTAATTTCATCCCCCAAATTAGATAGCAGGCTCCAGAGAGCAATGACCAGATATGAGTAAGTTACCCTGACTCAGAATAGAGGCTTAATCAATGCTAGTTGTTCAGATTGCATTAGTTTCCACCTTCCCCTTCATCCCGCCTGATTCCCTTTTGAACAAAGTCCCTCTTTGTGACCTAGACTGTAGGATAGAGATTTTTTTTAAAAAAGAAAAAAATTGTTTATGATACTTATGTTCTAACATTTATTCTAATAACAGACTATAGTTCTGAAGTAAAATGTATTACCTATTTCAAATATATTTTATTTACTGTATCATAAGCTAAATATTTATAAATGTATATTTCTTATTTAGATAGTACTTTCCAAAATCATTTTCTTAAGTTGATTTATTTTTGAAAGAGAGAGAGTACAAGCAGAGGAGGCCGAAGAGAGAAGGAGACTAAGGATCTGAAGCAGGCTCCACACTGACAGCAGAGAGCCTGACTCAGGGCTCGAACTCAGGAACAGTGAGGTCATGACCTGAGCGGAAGTTGGATGCTTAACTGACTGAGTCACCCAGGTACCCCTCCGTTTGTTTGTTTTCTGTTTTTTTTTTTTTAATGTTTTATTTATTTTTAGGAGAGAGAGAGAGACAGCGTGAGCAGGGGAGGGTCAGAGAGAGAGGGAGTCACAGACTGAAACAGGCTCCAGGCTCTGAGCTGGCAGTCAGCACAGGGCCCGATGCGGGGCTCGAACCCACGAACCGCGAGATCATGACCCAAGCGAAAGTCGAACGCTTAACCAACTAAGCCACCCAGGCGCCCGTTTTCTGTTTTTTAACCAGAGGAACAACTCTGCAAGTGTAAATGTTCACGGAGCACCAATATATAGTAAATAAAAGTGAAGCAACTCACTTAATAAAGCCAGTTACATCATCATTTTTTTTTTTTTTTAAATTAGGCTTTTTGGATTGGGAAATAAAAACCCATAAGGCATCCCACAGAACCCTAAGGTTCTGAGAAACAGTTTGGAAAGTATGGTTCAGTATCACTACCAGGTGGAAGGGACAGCTACTGAGTCCTTCTGTGCTCTGAGGAAGAAAATGAAAATTGCAGGGGCGCCTGGGTGGCTCAGTTGGTTAAGTGTCCAACTTCGGCTCAGGTCATGATTTCACGGTTCATGGGTTCCACGTCGAACTCTGTGCTGACAGCTAGCTCAGAGTCTGGAGGCTGCTTCAGATACTGTATTTCCCTCCCTCTCTGACTCTCCCCTGCTCATGCTATCTCTCTCTCTCTCAGAAATAAATAAAACATAAAAAAAAAAAGAAAATGAAAATTGCACTGAAAGATGTTTCCAACTTTGTCACATCATTCAAGAAATTTCCACTTAAAAGTATCATTGAATATATTTCTACTTTAGAAAAATAGTTACAATCCTAATCTACCGATTGAGAATAAGTTGTTTCCCTTGTTTGCTCTCTAAACATCTCTTTGGTATCATGGATAACAGTCACTATTAGGAGAGTCTAAATTCAGAATGCAGACCCATTAGGTCTGTTCTCCACCATATTGGGCCATTCAGAGGATGTAGTTGGAACAGAGGATGACGTCAATGGGGAAATGAGGTGCAAAGGGCATGCTGTTCAAGAAATGGACAGGGAATTGATGTGGGTGTAGGTGCTCCAGTAAGAGTTGTAAATGTAGGTATTGCCCTACCAACAAGTGTACAGACTGAGCAATTGCCCTAGTCTCTGGGAACTTCAGCTAAGTAACGTAAGGCCAGGCTCCCCCCTGTGTTGTCCTCATCAGTTAACCTGTTCCTTCCGGAGTCCCTTGTTCCTTCTTACTCTAGTTCCTCTCAATCCATTTAATGGTTCTTGCCTCTTTTCTCACTAAATAACCCCTAAAACCTAGGCGTCCCATACAGTTCATTTCTCTGCTCTTTTTTAAAAAATGTTTTATTTAGTTATTTTTGAGACAGAGAGAAAGTGCACAAGCAGGGGAGGGGCCGAGAAAGGGAGACACAGAATTGGAAGTAGGCTCCATGCTCTGACCTATCAGTGCAGAGCCTGAGAGAGGGATCGAATTCACGGACCGTGAGATGATGACCTGAGCCAAAGTTGGATGTTAAACCGACTGAGCCACCCAAGCGCCCCTATTTCTCTGCTCTTGACCATGCCTTACACTTTCCTGGAGCAGCCTCATCCATTTCTCTAATTTCAACTACCACTTACATGCTCATGACTCCACCATACACTATTTCTAGCCCAATGTTACTGACCTGAGTCTTGGCATATCCTATTATGCACTTCGAACATACTTAAAACAATAACCTCATTGTCTTCCCCACGAACTTTCAACCTTCTTCCATAGGCCCTTGAACATCATGGGTTTGAACTGCACGGGTCCACCTATGCATGGATCTTTTTTTATGCAGTACAGTACTGTGAATATATTTTCTCTCTTATGATTTTTTTAACTTTTTAAATATTAAGTAATCTTTATCCCCAGTCTTGAACTCACTACCCTGAGATCAAGTGTTGCATGCTCTACCGACTGAGCCAGCCATGTGTCACTTCCTTGTTATTTTCTTAGTATCATTTTCTTTTCACTAGCTTACTTTATTGTAAAAATATAGTATATAAATCATATAACACACAAAACATGTTAATTGGCTGTTTATGTTATCAGTATGGCTTCCAGTCAACAGTAGGCTCTTAGTTAAGTTTTGGGGGAGTCCAAATTTATGGGTGGATTTTTTATTGCACAGGGGTCTGTGGGCCCAATTCTTGTATTGTTTAAGGGTCAACTGTATTTCTTCTCCTTTGAGATGTATTATCATCCACTCAGTGATTTAAAGGCAGAAACATAACAGTTGCCTTAAAACACCTCTTCTCCAAGGGGTGCCTGGGTGTCTCAGTCGGTTAAGCTGTTGACTTCAGCTCAGGTCATGATCTCACAGTCTGTGAGTTGAAGCTCTGTGTCAGGCTCTGTGCTGACAGCTCGGAGCCTGGAGCATGCTTCGGATTCTGTGTCTCCCTCTCTCTCTGCCCCTCCCCTACTCACACTCTGTCTCTCAAAAATAAAACATTAAAAAAAATTTATAAAAAAAGCCCCTTCTCCTTAAACTCCAAATTATCAAAGTCCCATGGAGTCGAACATGTACATTTTTTAAATTTTCTCTCTTGTAACTCTACTGCCATTAATCTTGTCTAAAGAATCTGTAACTAGTTATCAAAATCTCTCCTTGGTCATATTACCACCCAACCAACCCATTTCTCATACTACAAAATACTGATTATATACGTAAAGAAGGCAGAAATTCATCCTCTACCCTTCAAGGTCTTCCAGCTGAACTAACAATTAAATTTACATGAGACAGGTTGGCAGGAGAGGAAAAAAAACTATTATGTACACACAGAAACCCAACTTGCAATTGAGACCCAAAGAAATGACCAAAGTAGGCAGTTTTTATAGTTTAGAAAAAGAACAATAAATTCATGAGTAATTGACAGGATAAAGAAGTCTTTTATTAGTAATGAATTCTAATTGTAATTTGAGCCGAGGTAGATTAGTAGAAAAATAATAAGGTTTATGTCTAACCTTTCTCCACTATAAAGTTTCCATCTTTGGTGATAAAGATCTTTTTACTTAATATAGGTAGAGTATTTCCCATTTGGGAGATTTGTTCACTGCTTTCCGGGGGCAGAGGAGCATCTAAGTGTTCTTACACTGGTTGTTTCCCAAGTACCTTCAATCCAAAATATTCAATATGCCCTGGACCCCTACATATGCTACCTGAAGATGAGTTTCATAACTGAGAATTTTGGACTTATGCACAGTAGGGCATAATAGGAAGCAGTTTCAGAAGCTTTGAATTGGCCTTCCCCCTATAATACCTCTTTACCCCATAAGCCAAGGATCCATTGTGAGGGTTACTTCAACTGTCAAGTGTATCAATTCTAATCATAGACTCAGAGACTTGGGGACATTATCTCTGGATGTGTTCATAAAACCAGTGTTAGTGAGTCTCCTTGAGTTGGTCTTTTTTTTTTTTTTTAACTTCTTTTTTAATGCCCACTTATTTTTGAAAGAGAGAGAGTGTTAGCAGGGGAAGGGCAGAGAGAGAGGGATGGAGACACAGAATCAGAAGCAGGTTCCAGGCTCTGAGTTGTCAGCACAGAGCCCGATGCAGGACCCAAACCCAGGAACTGCAAGATCATGACCTGAGCTGAAGACATTAACCAACTAACTAAGCCACCCAAGCACCTCTCCTTAAGTCAGTCTTTAGCTAGGATTTCAGTTGTTACCTGCCTCCTTTAACACCCCCCCCACACACACACCCCGAATCTAACAAAGGTAGGGGCCATGATCATTTGAATGTAAATATAAATTTAGACTCTGCGTCCAAAAATTTTTTAAATGTCTCATTTCTCTTTTCAGTGTAACATGGTTAAATGGCTGTATATCCCTTCGGAGAAAAGACTGGGAAATCATTATAAGAAATAATTGTCATGATGATACAGGGTCCTTCCTCCCAGAAAACCAGCTATCTCATCACCTAGCAGGTTCTGGATCTGAAAATCAGTTCAGATCTGGGAGCTGAGCATACATGGGTGACTTTTTACTAAGGTGACTGCACTCAGCTTTCTGCTGCTCTATTCTTGACTTTGATTGTAGATGTTAAGAATCATCTATATATACTATATACATAGGTCAGATTACTATACTGTACACTTTATTTTTTTTTTATAAATAGTTTATTGTCAAATTAGTTTCCACATAACACTCAGTGCTCATCCCCAAAGTGCCCTCCTTCATGCCCATCCCCCCCTCCCCCCCTCATCCATCAGTCCTCAGTTTTTGTCAGCATTCAAGAGTCTCTCATGGTTTGTCTCTCTCCCTTTCCCCCACCATTTCTGCCCTTCTTCTCCCCCTTGTTCCTCCGTCAAGTTCCTCCTAATCCTCCTATACGTGCAGACATATGATATTTGTCCTTCTCTGCCTGACTTATTTCGCTCAGCATAACACCCTCAAGGTCCATCCATGTTGCTACACATGGCCAGATTTCATGGTTTCTCATTGCCATGTAGTATTCCATGGTATAGATAAACCACATCTTCTTGATCCATTCATCTGTTGATGGACACTTACGCTCTTTCCATGTTTTAGCTATTGTGGAGAGTGCTGCTATGAACTATACTGTACACTTTAAACTTGCAGAATGTCATATGTCAATGATATCTCAATAAAACTGGGGAAAAATTTAAAAATGCAAGTAATTGACTTCCACATAGAAGAAGAAGAGGAGGAGGAGGAGGAGAAGGAGGAGGAAGAGGAGGAGGGAGAGATGGAAGAGGAGGGAGACTAAGTTGACTAAACCGATGACTACCACATGGGGAGGGAGAGGTGAAAGAGGAAGAGGAGGGAGGGGGAGGAGGAGGTTGTTCAAGAAAAGCAGCAGCAGCAGCAGCATTGTTGTTGGCTGCCCATCTCCTTTGCCCTAGGGATGCCAGGCTCTGTCAAACATCTCCATGGCTCCCCAGAGTCATGTCCCCTTAGCTGGCCTCCAACCTTCCTGGTCATTGTGGCCTCCTGGTTTCTGCTGGTTAAATGACACCATCTAACTCACTTCAGAGCCCACCATCCCCAGAATGACATTAGCAAGCCCAGTTCTATGACTGCCTTACTACTATCAGCCCTCTCTGCAGAGGACTGCTGCCCTTCTCCGCAATGCTTGTGCCCCCTCTCTAGCATGTTTCTCGTGGCCTTGGTGGACACTAGGTCCTCGGTGCCCTCCTGAGGAACATCCTCTGGTGGGTGCCTGGCCTCACATAACAGATCCATCCCTGCATGTCTACATTCCTGTCTTATTCCCTCCCCTCCCCTCTGCCAGGGCAGTGTGGGCATTCATACCTTGCTCAGGGCTCGCTGTCACTGTCTCTGGGCCTCTCAAAATCATCCTAGCAGTAAATTTGTCCCACCTCCTGGGATCCTCTCTAGGATGTTAAGTCCTGTGCAAGGAGAAAGTGCCCCCCAGGGGCACCTGGGTGGCTCAGTTGCTTAAGTGTCCGACTTTGGCTTAGGTCATGATCTCAGGGTTCGTGGGTTCGAGCCCCACATCTGGGGCTCAGAGCCTGGAGCCTGCTTTGGATTCTGTGTCTCCCTATCTCTGCCCCTCCCCCATTCACATTCTGTCTTTTTCTGTCTCTCTCTCAAAAATTATCATTAAGAATCTTTCAGATAGGGGCACCTGGGTGGCTTAGTCGGTTACGCGTCCGACTTTCCGACTTTCGCTTAGGGCATGATCTCGCGGTTCGTGGGTTCGAGCCCCGCGTCGGGCTCTGTGCTGACTGCCAGCTCGGAGCCTGGATCCTGTTTCTGTCTGTGACTCCCTCTCTCTCTGACCCTCCCCTGCTCACGCTGTCTCTCTCTCCTAGAAATAAATAAAACATTAAAAAAAAAAAAGAATCTTTCAGATAAAAAAAAAAAAGTGTCCCCACGGCAATAAATTCTTGTTTCTCTAGTGCTGTGCTCTGGTCCTTTTGATCAACTGCTCTCAAAATCTAATCTGAGAATTATCCCCTAACTTCTGCCAGTACATGCTGGCTAATTTCTGCAGATCCTTTGGTAGATGTTCTCTTCCTCCCCTTGCCAGGCCCATCATTTCACTACCTGGGTTATGCTGGAATTTAACTCTCAGTTATTGGCCTAATAGCTGGGAGACGGGTTTGGAGGAATTTTTGAGGGGGTCACCTGTTACCTTTGAGGGGAAGGAAATATGTGCATCACCTACCAGCACAGTGGAGCTACACCTTACTAGGGAACCAGAGACCAACTCTGCTAGTTCTGAGAATTCTTCTCAGTCTACAGAGTTGGCGCTCTCAGTGGCATTCATTTCAATGTCCCTACCCAATGTTTCAGGGTCCAAGATCTGCCCAACCAGGGTGCTGACTTTAGCACAACAGACCTGCCTTTGCTAAAATACTAAGTCTCGGTAGCCCTGCAATTTTAGCTATTAGAGCTTCTGTTTGCTGCTCAGCTACGACCGTTCTTCTAACAATGCAAGATCCATGGGCCTCTGTAAACTACAAGCTCTTTCGCTTTCACATCTCATCCTTAGTCTTTCAATGTTTGCTAATGGCCCTCAGTTCTTCATTATCCCATTGATGGACATTAATACAACTGACCAATAACCAGCCAATTCCACCGTATTTTTAGGTCCCTTAATATCTATATTTCCCAAATGCTTGTATTACTGTATTTGCAAAGATATTCTCCTCTACCAGGACTTTTTTTCCCTGTCACCTCCACTGAAATCTCCAGCTATTGAACCACCACTGTGTGAGAGGGACTAACCATCCCTTACACAGCACTCAGAATTGTGTCCCTTTATGTTCACCAGCAGGTGAATGAGCCAGTCCGAGGATCCCATCTTCTCATCGATTTTCTCTGACTGCTCCTGGCATCACATGTATTTGTTCCTGTCCTCCAAGAAGAAGATGCCAAGATTAAGATTAGGTGCACAAGAGACATGCTATGGGAAACAACTAAGAAGGAAAAGAAGGGACTTGGGAGGCTGGGACAGCTGTCAGAGCATAATGAAGCTTTAACCTCTGTGAAGGAAAGGGAAGGGAGTTTGGGGAGGAAGATTCTTGAACTACAGTGCAGTTTTAAGAAAGTTTTTGCAAGGCTGGCGAACAGTCGAGTCTGAGGCACAAGACTGACCTGCCTTAGAATCCCTTAGCGGCTGGGGAATAGCAGGTAGGAGTTTTAGCACAGGCATGAACTGCATGGTGGTGAAGCTCAAGTTGGGGCCACTAACTGATTACTCCCCCTGCACTACAGAGCTGAAAGGCACATTTGCATGATCACATCATACTGTGATATTCTTTCTTTGCCTGAATATCCTGAAGACAGGGAAGAAAAATAGGGTTTACTCAGACACTCCTCTGCTGAGCACATCAACACTTTATACTTTCCTCTGAAATTATAATTACACTCAATGATGGGTAAAGAACAGGGCCAAAATAACTTGGCTTAGAAATCAATTTAGGAAAAATGTTGACATTTGCCAGTAGAAAATGAGCTATGGCAAACAGAGAGAAGCCTTGTGGGAAACTATTTTCCAAACTATGGACTGTTAAATGGTAAGTGGCTTAATCCATCACTTTCTTTCTATTTGAAGCTTAAACTTGAGCTGCTTCCCTTTTCCTGATTGGCACTTTAAGGTTTTATTATTTATTTTAAAATGTACTTATTTTTGGAGATACAGAGGAGAGTTCAAGCTGAGGAGGGTCAGAGGATCTGAGGCAGACTGTGCTGACATCAGGCACCCAATGTGGGGCTCGAGCTTATGAACAGCAAGATCGTGACTGGAACTGAAGTCAGAGGCTTAACTGACTAAGCCACCCAGGTGCCCCTTTAAGATTTTATTTTTAAGTAATCTCTACACCCAATGTGGGGCTCAAACTTACAAACCTGAGATCAAGAGTTGCATGCTCTACTGACTGAGCCAGCCAGGCGCTCTAAGCACTAACTGTTATCAGTTTTACCAGAGACTTTTTGGGTCCAGGACTGTAAAGTGGTAGTTAACAATAGTGAAGACTACTGCTATAAGGTTCTCTGATCTTAATCTCTTTCTTAAATACAATCGTTGTGCAGCCTCTCGATCTGGGTTATTCATCACAATCCTTTTAGGTATGTCAAGAGTTGTGGACACTTGAGTCCTCCCTTTTAGGTCCGGGGGCAGGCACTGCTGAACCGACCAATACCAAGCCTCTTCTTGAAGATGATAACTTCTGTTAAAATGAGCATAGTCTGCAAGCGGGTCTTATGACCGGTATCCAAAAATGAGGTAGTCCATTAAAAAGAAATGTATTATGGGGTGCCTGGCTGCCTCAGATGGAAGAGCAAGAAAGTTTTGATCTCAGGGTTGTGAGTTCAAGCCTCACGTTGGAGGTAGAGATTACTTAAATAAAACTTTTTTAAAAAATGTTATTTATCTCAAGAATTCAAAACAGGTGGAAGAAGGATGGGCCATGGAGAGAGTAACGTATGGGAGTTGAGACCAAGAATAATGCCTCCTCTCCTTCTCCATCCTTCTGCGCTCTCTGGCCTAGCTTTATACAAAATTAGGCAAAATAATTCATTAACAGAATTATGACATTACACTGTTACTACCTTTCCAACCAGTAACTTTTTTTTAATATGCATAGGTATTGTGTTATTATGTTATTAACCGTCTCAGTTAATAAAAGGACTCACATTCCCATCTTTGTCCTGAGCAGCATGAATTTCCAATTTACTAACCCTGCTATCAGTGCTCAAGTTCTTTTTTGGCACCAGCTATATAAAGTGTCCCCAAATGGCCCATCCATGGGGGGCACACTCTCAAACCAGGGAATTATTCTGTTTGGGGCAACTTAATATTAAAGACCAGAAGCTAATGAAGATTTTAATAAATAGACATAGATCATGTTTGCATAGACCTGCAATTTATGAAGTGTATTACATAGAATTTCTCATTAAATCTTCACAATCCTTTGAGATAACTATTATGACTGTCATTTAGGTAACAGATACTCAAAATCAACTAGCAACTAAAAATAGCACAGCAGGTAATCAAACCTAGAAGGAACACTCCTTACTCCCTTAATCTTTGCAGGTCATTAACACTTAACCCAACACACATGCCTGCCATTTGTTTTTGTTTTTGTTTTTGGAGACTCTACCCACAGGTCAGGTCATAGCATCAGGTTGTAGCCATGTTATATCAACTATCTCAGCCAATGAAGGCTTCGAATTTAGCACAGAAATACTCAGTTAACAATTGCCTTCATTTCACAACACTCACCATACTACATACGCCCAAATGCATTCCATTACTGCCTTGTTTCACTTTGCAGAATTCCCAACACGCAGCTACATTCTACTTAAGTCTAGGTACTTTTGTTTTATTTTAATTATTTTTTTTTTTTTTGAGAGAGAGAGAAGAGCTGGGCTCATGCACACCTGAAGCAGGTCTGAGATCATGACCTGAGCCAGTCAGATGCTTAATGACAGCCACCCAGGTGCCCCATTTTTTCTTTTTAAATTAGGCTCCACACCAACATGAAGCTTGAACTCACAACCCTGAGACTAAGAGTCACATACTCTACTGACTGAGCCACCCAGGTACCCCCAGTCTATGTATTTTCTTAGGAGCATACTTAAATGCAAAAAACAAACAAACAAACACCTCCAGCTATCACTAACACATTCAAACACAATACCAAATAACATTTTTGTAGAGTTATTACATTTTGTTGGGGCTACAATATGCCACCGACTTTTGCCATAATTCATTGGCCCAGAAAAACCATCAGAACTTCCTGTAGGGAGGGGCACCTGGGTGGCTCAATTAGTCGTGTCCAACTTTGGCTCAGGTCATGATCTCGCGGTTCATGAGTTCAAACCCTATGTCAGGCTCTGTGCTGGCGGAGCTGCTTCGGATTCTATGTCTCCCTCTCTCTCTGCCCCTCCCCCACTTGTGCGTGCTCTCTCTATAATAAACATTAACAAAAAATTTTTAAAAATTCCTATAGGAAAAAAAAATTCTTGTGTGATTTTTGTTGGGAAAGGTGACATGTTGATTCTAAATTTATGTAGAGTTCCTCAAATTCAATAAGAAAACAAATGATTCAATAAAAAATAGGCAAAGTATTTGAACAGCCACTCCACCTAGAAGCTATATGGAGGGTAAATTAATACAATAAGATACCATTATTCACCTATTACAATGGCTAAGATTTTAAAAAACTGATCACATCAAGTGTCAATGAAGAAAGCAACTGGATATGATACAT